AATTGGCTGATGAAGTAGATAGCCATATAGTAAGGGGGTTGAGAAATTAAGAAGAGCATTAAGTGTAAGCAAGAGGGAGAGGCAAAGTCAAGATGGCAGAGTGAGAGGTGACCACTTTGTTTTATTTTTCCCCAAAACTCTCCCACAACAGCCTCAGAAAACACACCAAACTGAATTCTGAATAGGAAAGGTAGGAAAAGGCAAAGTGAATCATTTCTCCTGTCCAAGGCGGCTTAGGAAGACAGACAGAGAGGTCCCCAGACTTTGAGGAAAGCAGAAGCAGAACCATTTGTTACTGCATAACAAAGAGAATGATTGATCAATGGAACAGATTAGGTACAAGGTATACAGAAGCAAATGAACACTGTAACCTAGTATTTGATAAACCCCAAGATTGCACCTATTATAGCAAGAAATCAGTATTTGGCAGAAAATGCCGAGAAAAATGGATGGTATTCTGGCAAAGACTAGGCATAGACTAATATCTCACACTATATACCAAGATGAACTTCAAAGGGAAATATAATTGAGATATAAAGGGTAATATCATAAGCACATTAGGGGAGCACAGAAAAAAAATACTTCTCAGATCTATGGCTAAGGGATGGGTCTATGATCAAACAAATAAAAGACAGAAAATTTTATAGGAGGCAAAATGGATAATTTTGATTACATAAAATTAATGGGGTTTTTTGCACAAAAAAAATCAAAGTAGCCAAAATTAGAAGAAAAACAGGAAACTGCGGGCAGTAGAAAATTTACAGCAACTTTCTCTGACCAAAGTGTCCTTTTTAAACTCTATAGGCAACTGAGTCAAATTTTTATTTATCAAAATAACATTCTCCAATTGATAAATGGTCCAAGAATATGAACAGGGAATTTTCCGATGAAGAAATCAAAGCTATTAGTAGTCATATAATAAATGTTTTAAATCACTATTTAGATAAATGCAAACTAAAATGACTCTGAGGAACCACCTGACACCCATCAAATTGGCTAAGATGACCGAAAGGGAAAATAACAAATGCTAGAAGAGATGTGGGGGAAAAACTGCATTGTTGGTGGAAATGTGAACCGGTCTAACCATTCTGGAGAAGAATTTGGAACTATGTGCAAAGAGATCTAAAACTGTGCATGCTATTTGTCCCACAACTAGGTCTAAACCCAAAGAGATCAAAGGAAAAGAAAAAGGATCCATATATACAAAAATAACTACAGATACTCTTTCTGTGATGTCAAAGAATTGGAAATTGAGGGGATCAATTGAGGAATGAGTGAACAAGTTATGGGATAAGAATGTAATGGAATACTATAGTATGGAAAAATAATGAAGGGGATGGTTGCAGAGAAACCTGTTAAGGCTTATGTGAACTGATGCAAAGCGAAGTGAACAGAACCAAGAGAATAATTTTATGCAGTAACTACAATATTGTAAAGACAGTACCATGAAGGATTTGGTAACTCTGATGAATACAATGATCCACAACAGTTTCAAAGAACTCATGATGAAAAATGCTATCCCCCTTCAAATAGAGAACCAATGGATTCAGCATGCCAACTGAAGAATTTTTTTTTTGAAACATGGCTAATGCAGAGATATGTTTTGCATGACTTCATTTCTATAATGGGTTTTCTACCTCTAGCCTTCTCAATGCTTGAGAGAAAGGATGGAAGGAAGAAGAGAATTTGGAACTAAAAAAAAGGAAAATTTAAAAAAAGTGTAAGCAAGACTTTTAGGCAAACTTCTGCTAAGCAAACTTTTTTTATATGCAAATTTTCTCTACTTCAGAATTTTGCTTGGGGCTATATACTCTGGAACAAATTGGAGAGAAACAGACAGGGAGTCTGCCCAGCTTGGGAGGAAGAGAAAGTCCTTTGCTCCTGAGAACTCTTTGGGGACCAGCACCTCAGCTCCATTGACCTAGAATTCTCTGGTTGATTTAGAAGTGAGAAAGCATAAACAAGAGTCAGAGGTTTTGTCATCATCATACGGTTATTGGTACAGCAAAGGAAGGCGGGAAATAGGACTTAGCACATAACACAAATCATTGTGCGACACAATGTCAGGGCTAGTCCTAAAAGAAATCAGACTTCAAGTCATCCTAAACTTAAAATTAGGAGGAATAGGGAAAAGACAAAATGCAGTTTCCCCAAGCTCAAGTACCATCTGCTCCCAATGCCCCTTTATTTATTTTTTGTTTTGGGTTTTTTTTTTTGTTTTGTTTTGTTTTAATCCAGAATGAGGAGGGTCATTGAGGCTGGTGAGAGGACCATTTAGATGGATATGCTGAAGCTAGCACAAGTGAGATCATACTGATTGTTGGGGCTAAGGCTCTTGGGACAGTGGCTTTCAAGGAAGGAATTATACCTGCTGATAGCCACAGGGGTGACAAGGTTGGTGGTAGGCATCTCTGCAGTAGTCTGAGAATATTTTGGGGGACTCTCTTTTTGGTCTGCAAAAAGAACAGAGTAAGGAACACATGGGCCCCTGAGCCCACATTCTCATGTGACTCCTCTTCCCTGGAGCTGCCCCACAAAATTGCTGCCCCATTGGTTTGAGGCACTATATGCATGCATTTTATGGGCTAACATTATTGCACATTTTATACCATTCATTATATATAATTTAGTACTTTAGTCTATTTTTCCTGCTCCTTTTTCTACAAGAAGGCATCTGATGAGGTATGGCTCTGGACTCCCCGTGACCTTTGAATTTTTAACCTAGCCCCTCAACTTTCCCACGTGGCCCAGTCCCTGGCATTTGCCTGAGGCATCTGCTCATCCCAGAATAATCCTTTCAACAGTCGTTTCATTGTGGCTCTGACTCAGCCCAACCTTCATTCTCTGTTATGTCTCACCCAGACCAACCCTTCATTGTCTGTTACCTCCAGACCACCCCAGGCTATTTCCTCACCCTTAATCCCACCTAGGCCCCTTCTCCTTCACCTCTGGGTCACCCCAGCCTATTGGCCATTCCAAGATCACATCCAGATTTTCCCACCATCTTTCTGTATAAAGGTGTCCATCCTGCCTCCATTAAGTTGCTCTGATACTTAAAATCTGACCCACTGGTCAACACAAACATCGCAAATGCACAGATTCTTAAAATCCCGCCCACTTCTATTGGTGATACAATAAACCTTTTCTCTGACTGAAAGAAGGCTTGAGTTGAATTCTTTCCAGGCAGAGCCGTGCCTTTTCCCCTTGAATTTCAGGGTTCCCAGCACCCCTAGACTGCAATCGCACCTTTGCCACCTCCAGGCAGACTGATGATCTGTCCAGGCATATTCCTAAGGGGTGCTTTTTCTGTCAGTATGAGCTGAGTGTTGCTGATATCCAGAATGAAGGCAATACTAATAAGTCCTAGATATAGAACATTTTACACTTCACAAAGTGTGTTTCCCTCACTCATTGTTACAACCTTCTCTTCTCTCCCCACCTCAATATTTAAAAACGTAAAATTAATTTGGAGAGAGCTGGAGTGACCTTCCAGGTCACAACCATGGTCAGTTTCACAACTAAGATTAGACCCTATGTCTGTGCTTTTTTTCATTAGAACCTACCAGTGCCTGTTCCACTTTTGGTGGACCCAGAACATTGTGCCCCTTGTCTCATGGGGCCAGAGCTACTGGCATCATAAATCAGTAAAGCACAAGTTTGTCTATGTGTATGTTTGTCTGTGTCGGTGTAAAACCAGGCGTCTCTGTGTAAGCAATAGTCATATTTATATGAATGAGTGTCAGTGTGCTACACTGAACACCCAAAAGTAGAGGTTCCAGAAAAACCATCTGCTCTGCATGGGAATAAGCCCAGAGAAGAAAATGCCTCACCATGCCCAGGGACCAAAAAGCAAACCTCCTGCTCTCTGCACCTCTCCCCCCCACCAACCCCACCTAAATCATGGTGTGGGAAGAAGTGAGGACAGGATGGGAATAGGGAGGGGCAGGAAGCTGAAGGACTGAAGGAGGGTGAGCAGCTTCTCCCTGGAGACCCCAGGGAGACCCAAACTCACATCCTAGCCCAGGGTCATGTTCACACCAGGTACTTCCTAAGCTCTGCTTGAACTGAAAGGGATCGAGTTGGCAGGGACTTACCTGGAGAAACCTCCAGCCTGATTATCCTGAGAATATCAATAGCATTCCTGACAGAGTCATGGATTCCACACCAATAGATGCCTGAGTCGTTCACCCTGAGGTTAGACATGGTGATGGTGATGTTACCAGAGTAGGTGTCATCCTCCAGGGAGGTTCGTGGGTCCCCACGTTGCCAAGTTAAGACTGAGGTCCTGGTAATTAGTCTATCACACACCTTTCCATCTTCTCTCACTTTACACCAGGTTTTCCAGCTCTCCTCATTTCTCTGGGAATTGTAGCTGCAGCTCACTCTGAGTGTCTGCCCCTCCTGGTACTTCACTGGAAACACTTGTCCCTGTGAACCTGAAAAGCAGATCATCAAGTCAGGGGGAGCCCAGCTGGGCCTCCCTTCAGTTCCCTCCCTTCCTTGACCAAAGAATAGAAACAAGGTAAGGGGGGCTGGTCTCCTTAAATAACATTCTCTTCTAAGAAACATGCATCAAAGAGACATCCCCTCACCCAAGGGAGCCTCCTAATCAGTGGTGTGTTAGTAAACAATTAACAACCAGTTGTCTCAATCTTTCTCTTTCCCTCCCTCGGTCTTTCTTCCTCTTCTTCCCTCCCCTCCTCTCTTTCCTTCTCTTTTCTCTCTCCTCTCTCATTTTGTATTTATAAACATATCCATGTACATATACATACTTGTGACAATTAACATTTTCTCCATCCCTTTTTTAAGTCTAGCCAATTAACTAAACAATTAATTAACTAAACAATTAATCAACTCTTCATTTGTATGCAGTGTTTGCCAATTTTCAAACTGTAAATGCTCCCTCTGGAAATTGAACAATCAGCTCTTCCAAGCCAATGTGAGCTGGCTCC